AAGAAGTTCCGATAGGTTTAAATGTCAGGTGACCCGGGAGCTACTGTGTGGGGCCGTGGGGACAAAGAAGTATACAACCTCATGCGGACGAGGATATCTGATTACAATATATTCACTGAATATTGATAGAATATGCTAGTTAGATGGGTAATATGGACAATTTATCGGAAAAATCTCAACATAGGATGAATTAAACAAGCAGTTCAAGTGTCTGATTTTATGATATCATGGTCTTAGGCTAGTTATAAATAGAGGCTATATCAAGTCAACATATAGAAATTTGCCTAACACACGACTCAATCAGCAAATAATACGAAGATATTCACAAGTATGCTCTAGCTTTATCGACAATGTCTGCTACAATACTGTAGAGCTTTTCTGCAGAACTTCCCTTCCTCATATTCCCCATATCAGTTTTGAGCATATGAGTTCTAAGTAACATAATAATAGTTAGGTTGAGAGGTACCATCTTCTCACCAATGAAATTTGGCACTAAGTATTATCTAAAAGGATATTGACTAACATTCCGGAGGCCACTTTGTGGCTTTGATCCTTTATCATGGGAAAGTATGAGGTCAAAGAGCTAAGTGACACAATTAGCTATCACCCGATGCCGGATGAAGGTGTCTACACGGAGAAAGAAAGCACGGATTGAGAACTGCAAGATCAATGAAATCCAAAATCCAAAATCCATAATTACAATGAAGTTATCTCTCAACCTCCCACCTTCACTCCACTATCGATGATATAATCGACCATCACGTGTTACCAACCTTGTGAACTCACAAGACCAACTCTTCTCCGAAACACTTTATTTTACCAGTACGTTAATCTTCTTGGGTTTCTTTTATTTCTGTCGGGTTAGTTCTAAGACGCTATCTCCTACCCCATATCCCCAACCCAGATAATTCCACCTCAAGCGGTACTAACGAGCCTGAACGATGGTATGTCTCTCATGGCTATGCGTCCGACTGATGTCTCACACCTTCCTCTAGTCAGGGAATTACGATTACCCTCGTGCTTCTTCCTCTTCAACCCGTCGCTCCCGCATATCCCGTCATTCCAGACCTGACGAGCGCCCTGACATCCTTCGTCTCCAGCATCTCCGCAATCTCGTATCGGAACGAACTCGCTCCGGTTCTTACAACGCCTACAACACCAACTTTGCCTTGGAAACGTTAAATCGAGAAATCGCTGCGCATTCTCTGGACCGATCTCGCGATCGTACCAACCTTGAGCAAGCTCGGGCCGACGTCGATCGCCAACTGCACTCCGAGACAACTGGCCCCGCAGAGCCAACTCGGAGCATTTGGCTCGACCAGATTCGCTCAGAACGGGCTCGAACTTCGCTCTCCCCGGAGTCACATTCCCTTCGCCATCGTTTGCCCTGGCAAACGTTCCGACCACCAAGCCCGGACGGGTCTTTATCCAGGTCACCGTCTTTCATGCCACCATCCGGCCAGTCGGGCCGTGATGGCCAAGGACGGATGAAGCGTCGGAAGCTGGACACCGATGATAACCGCGAGGAATTTCGAGGCTTCAACTACGGTCAATATGGGCAAGTACTACCGGGAATGCTGCAAATGGAAATCGCTAGCTGCGACGGAGGAAGCTACGATCCGGATAGCGGGTGTTCGCGTCCCGAGAACGTTTTGGACAACAATACAAGCGTGTACTCTACCAGAGAGGCCCGCTGCAACTTGGTTCTCTGTCATCGGGGCGAGGCCCCATTCTGCTTAAAGAAGATCGTTATCAGAGCCCCTCAATGCGGGTTCGATGCTCCGTATGTCCACCAGGCGTGTCTGTACGTTGGACTCATGACTAATGAAATGAAACAGAATACAAGAAGGCATGGTATTCGTCGCGATGACCTCTGATGAACTGCTTGCCCGCACCGCCCAATACCAAATTCAATACTCTAGCGGCCGATACCGCCGTCGAGCCCGCCGCAGTGGCATGCAACCATCCCAGGAATACCTCACTGGGTTCCGGCCACCACTTCAAAATATCGAACGCACAGTTCTCATGAGCCCACATTCAGCCGCTGTTCCGCATACCGCAGAAGACCCGCAAGCGCAGTTCCGCATCACCACCGAGTATGACAATAACGAAGATTCTGGAGATGACGAAGAAAGTTCTGCATTTCTGGAGAGAACCCAAGCCGACCAGATGGAAGATCCTTTATCGTCTACTGATGAGAGTCCAAGCGATGAGGAGGACTCTTCAAGACACCAGAGTCGCCGACAGATTCAATCGGAACGTTTGAGTGCCCTCAGCCGGGTCTCTGAGCAGAGACTGCGCCATAGTCCGAGTCTTGTGCATCCACACCCCTTAGCCGAGCCTGCTCATCCAACTGCCGAAGTTTTGAAGCCACATGCGCGCTTCTTCATCGAGCGAGAGAAGAGCATGGTTACCATTAAATTTGACCCACCCCCGTATGTGTCATTATCATTGGATGTGGATAACCGAAAACTAACGTTTCCAGGTCTGGCCGGTTCATTCTCATCAAGCTGTGGAGCCCGCGAGCCCACGGGAATATTGACATAGAAAGCATCATCGCACATGGATATGCAGGTCCGCGGTTCTTCCCCAGTCTCGCTTCTCGGTAACGGTGGGAACAAGGAGTTTTGATGCGTTTTGGATCAGAGGGATAGAAGCAAATATTTCTCTTTTGGTGCATAGTTTTTCAGCCCAAAACTGTCTTACTAGTGTCAGCTAGTAAGACAACTTATCATGATTATGATATGACTTTCAGGATTATTCTTTATTCTGCCCTGATTTGTTCCATCATCCAACCCATCGAGATCACACTAAATACATTTCGTATGTGGGATCAAAAGGTATGGCCACTTGATCAGCCTTTAATTAGCATCTCCAATACCACATTTTCAGGGCATATTTCTTGATATATTTCTTGATAGATGAATGGACCATCTTCTCTTCTCAGCCACCTCCAGCGTAATAGGTGGTAGCATGTCGTTTCCATCAGATCCCCTTCGATCAAGGAGAAGTTGGCGTCAGTTAAGTGCCTATAAAGGCCCGCTGGCTGCCCTGGAAGATATACTCGACTTGCACCAGTATCAGCGCCTGGCTTTGGAATGATGCAAGAGGAGTCTATTGGAGGGGCTGGTTTTCGTTTGAATAAACATGGTTGAAGTGGGAAGATGGTAAGTTCACTACGAGTGTACTTTGGAATGTGGGGGGATAGATACGGGACACAGCCCTAATTATTTCAATGTTGATACCTACGGAGTACAATGCCCCTGCATGCTAGCTTAGAGAGAATATATGTCCTCCAATGTCCTCAATACGTACATAAGTATCTCTCCATCACCGACTACGATGTCCACCACAGCGACGACAGCGAGTGTAAAACCCCTCAACCCCACTAGCCTAGACCATATAGTCGCATGCTGTACCGCCGTATAAGATGCAACTTGCCATTTGAAGAAAGGCTTGGTGGCAGCAATTTGGTGGGGGTCAAGTCTCATTATGTTATCTCTTGACTGGGCTAGATTCTTATCGATGACAGTGATCGACGCCAAGGTGGTTAGTGGGGACGGGGGTCCCCGGTGTCCCTCGGCTATGCGCATTAATAGCTTGCAGCTTGATTTAAGTCAAATTGCACCTGTATACAACTATTGAAAGGATAATTCAAGTCGATGTTCTCCGTCACCTCAAAAAAAACCCCGACTAGACACGTAGAAATCTTGCGGCGGATATGAAGCCAAACAGACACCGGCCGTTCATAGGCGTATTTGGGATATCAGCATTATTAGGAAATATGCATCATTGTGCATAGTGAAGATACGTGCTGGCTGAATTTCAGGATCACGTAGGTTGGCCACATGGAGCCGACCCGTGTCTCTTCATTCTTACATCCTGCGTGGCGCGGTTAGCTAGGGACTAAAAGTCAACCTATAAGAATAGATTGTCAAAACGCCCTAAAAAACCCTGAACTGGCGCCATGCCTGAGCCACGGACGTTGGAAGTAAGGGAGCCAATCTGAAATATGAGCACTAATGCACGGCTCTAGAAATGGTTATCTCAAAAATGGTAACCTACGTTAGAGTCGGGAACTTCTTGGACCGATTGTTCCAATCCATTTGAACGCCTGACCAGCGCCTTCATGTTGTTATGTATATGTGTTCACATCTGTTTTGTGTTGGCGTTGCAACATGTATACTCCGTACCCGTGCGGGAACTGAGTTGTACTTGGGCAGCCTCAAAGCATGGCTAAATCCCCTGCATGTGTTGACTAGTGCGGGGTGAACGAGTTATCAAAATTGCGACATCCTCGAATAGCTTGGGGTCTGGTTCGGGGCTGGTCTGGCAGTGGTAGGACGACGGAAGTGGTGGACACGAACCAATGTACTTTTAGAATAGTAGCTGGTCCAGCCCCGGGGCTCTCGGACAGTGGAGGTCTCCGGTAGCCCCGCTATAGTAAATTGACAAAGTACGGATGAAGCCATTGCCGCTGGCAATCAATGCCGGGGTATTGTGGGATATCGGACATGGCCGCAGAGTCAGGAAAACAAGGCAAGTTCAAGGCGTCACTTCTCTATCCAACGATTTCCCGTGGCCCTCCCCCTGGCGATGACGCGAATAGACCCGGTCCGCCGTTAGCCTGTTTGGCCAGGCAATTAGTGGAGGAGCTAAACGGCTCAGCGCGGGGCTCATTACGCATATGCAATAGGTGGGAGGAGATCATGGATGTATGGGACCATGTTAGCGTTTAGCTGCAGCGCTAGAGTCGAAATAAAAGTCTATCCTATTTCTGATTTGAAAGGCGAGAGAAATAGAGTGGATGTAAGGGAGAGGAGGAGGAGAAGAGGAAGCTCTTCCTTTAAAGAGTCAGGTGTCCCCTTCCCGCTTTCTTAGTCTTTCCCTCTCCCGGTCTCTTTCTACTTCTTGGCTTCTTCCATCTCTCTACTCTTTTTTTCTTCTATAATTTATCTGCTTTATACCCCTTCCCAGCAGACGTCCTTGCTACCGATACCATGCGTATCACCGTCAACGTCATCCGCCCCGAGCAGGCGGACTCGGACATCATCAACCTAGAAGTGGGCGGCGATATGTCAGTCGAGCTCCTCAAAGCTATTGTCGAAAGCGAAACCACCATCCCACCCGAAGCCCAACAGCTCGTCTACAACAACCAGCTCCTCCAGAACCCTTCTCAAACCCTAGACCAAGCCGGCATCACCGAGGGCGACATGCTCGGTGTGCACGTCACCCGAGCTCCCCAATCCTCTACTCGCCCCGCCGCTTCCAGCTCCGTCGCGCCCAGACAGAACACCCAACCCCGCCCCGGCATGCCGGACCCCGAAACGATTCGTCTACACATTCTGGGTGATCCCCGCGTGCGCGAGGCCGTGCGCAGGCAGAACCCGGAGCTGTCTGAGGCCGCGGATAATGCTCAGCGCTTCCGCGAGGTCTTGCTTAGGCAGCAACAGGGCGAGGCGCAGCGGGAGGCGGAAAAAGAAGCTCGCATTGCGATGCTCAATGCCGATCCTTTTAATCACGATAACCAGAAGGAAATTGAGGAGATTATTCGCCAGAATGCTGTTACGGAAAATCTACACAATGCCATGGAGCATCATCCTGAGTGTACGCTCTATTCGAACTGGCTGCTGAACTGAGAATAAACCAGAGCTAACCAAATATGTTTCTCTAGCCTTCGGTCGCGTGACAATGCTCTACATCCCCGTGGAAGTGAATGGCCACCGTCTAAACGCCTTCGTCGACTCCGGCGCTCAGGTGACCATCATGTCGCCCGAGTGTGCAACATCGTGTAACATAATGCGCCTGGTAGACCGTCGCTATGGCGGCATTGCGAAGGGCGTCGGGACCGCCCCGATCCTGGGCCGGGTTCACTCCGCCCAGATCAAGATCGGCGAGATGTTCCTGCCCTGCTCCTTCACCGTCATGGAAGGCAAGCAGATCGACTTGCTCCTGGGGTTGGACATGCTCCGCCGCCACCAGGCCTGCATTGATCTCCAGCGGGGTGCCCTCGTTATCCAAGACCAGGCTGTCCCCTTCCTCGGTGAGGGCGATATCCCCAAGCACTTGACCGAAGAGTTCGAGGCCGAACCTACGGTCAAGGGAGCCGATGGTGCCGAAGTGGGTGCCCGCACTGGCGCGGTCACGCATAAAGCGGAGAACAATCCTAATGCCAATGCCACTTCCAATAATGCATCCGGGTCCGGCGCGTCAGGGTCACAACCCCGAATCAATATCCGGCCTGCGCCTGCTTCGCGGTGGCCGCAGGACTCCGTTGCCAGGATCACCGAGCTGGGATTCTCGCGCGAGGAAGCCGTCCGGGCTCTTGATATGGCACATGGAGACTTGGAAGGGGCGATCGGGTTTTTGATTTGATCTATGGATGGATTCCGCTTTCTGCATTTACACTCGAAGGCGTTTTGGTCGGGATGGGAACTTGTATTAGTGAGATTTGATCAAAGCACGTAATGATGTGTACGATTATAACGCTGGCTGCATTATAATAGATTTTGTTTATTGTCCTACATGTAATGTAAGTGTGTGCTGTTTATTCCCGCTTGGTTTTGGGCATTAGTTTGTCGCGTAGACGGAATACCATGTCTAGAGCCATGAATCCGCCTATGAGGTGTTAGTAACAGCTGGTGAGCTAATTGCGACATTCTTGCAGACACCCTTGGACTGCACATACCTAACGCCATATAGGGAGCATACAGCATGGTAAGCTGCTGCTTCTCCGCGACCGAGCGGTCAGTCCAACTCCACACCACCACCAGAGATGTCAATGTAGTGATGAAGGCCTGGATACCGAACACGAGGAGGTGTACAGGGACGAGGGGGTGGTCTAGATGAATTGGAAATTGAGTTAGTTGTTGATTGCGTTTGCCATTGTCATGTCGCTCGTGTTCGGGGAGAGGATATTCCAGATATTGCATTTGATATAGATATGTAATGGATATAAGACGTGATGGGGTGGACTGGATGATACCATATACAATGTACAAATAGCAACATGTAGCATGTACCAACACGAGCTTAGAAAAGAAATGGAAATACCTTTAAGCAAACCCCGAACCGCCCATATCGAGAGCGGGAGGTGGTACAGCAGCTCCATCCAGATGAAGACGGTGAACCATGTTGGGGGGTCTTCGAAGAATTTGTCGCGGTAGGTTGTTATGTAGAACTGGCGCAGGTGGTGGGAGAGGTTTGTTTGGAGGAAGGCTGGGAGGAGGGGGACTGTGTCGATTACTGTATTTTGGCGTTAGTGTGCATATACGAGGTATGAAGATATGAAGATATGAAGATAGAGATAGAGATAGAGAATCATACAGAGGATAATGGGGACATGGGTGACGAAAAAGAGAAGATAGGACAAGTCCCGTTTACGGGTGCAGATGGACATGATGTGCTGGGTCATATGCAATGCGAAAGGATAAGACGGCGCTGTGTGTGTTGTGTACGGAGTATGCTGTGTGTGTGTATGTTGTGTGTGTGTTGTGGAAGTGTAGATGTTTAGGGGAAGGGGATATCAGGTGACCCGAGGAACAATCTGGAAGAGATAGAGGAAGTTATAGAACTAGAACATCGTATAATTGCTTTTTTCGGGGGAATGCTAGTGTGAGATCTTAATTTCTAGCGTATTTTACCGAGATAACCAAAGTCCAAGTCGATATACACATCCAACTCCTTCGAGTACCTTGATCTCCATCTCACCGCTGCTTCTCAATTTTAAGGTGGCCTGACTGGTCTCCTCGGGGAGCTGTTGAATCCGAGCTATCCTATATCCACCAGGGAATACACTGAAGTAGACAAAGGACCTTGATGTCAACCATCAAGCCTGTAATTACATCATCGGGATAAGGTAACTAGGCATGCAGTGATGCTACAGGGAATCTCCTAGATAACCTGCCTCGAGAGAGACATCCCGGGAAGTAGACCGCAAGATCGGGATGCCCTAATTAGTTGATGACAGGGTTCTTTTGGGTTTTCCTCGTTTCTTCCCTTTTCTTCCCGTTTCTCCTTTCTCCTTGGAGCTTCCTAAATAGCTCGGAACAGTTGTAAATAGTCCTCCTAACCATATGCCGAATCATAATCCCCGCATGCATAGATCATGGCAGATAATGCAATTGCCATTCGGCCTGCAGCATGCCTTATCTTCGAGGTATTCACCATCTACCGTAGCGGTGTAAGACCATGGAAGCTTTGGAAAGAAATGAAAAAAAGCGGGCGAACGGTAGTGGAATGGGGATTTGCATGGCAGTGGATAAGTGGAGAGACGCGTTTATTGCTTTTCTTGCTTTATTGTTTTTATTTTTATTGAAATTTTACTTTTCTTCCTGGAGAGATCATTTTTCTGGCTTCTTTTTTCCATTATCTCTGACCGCTGTTCGCATCTTTCCACTCGGAGATGAAGGGAAGCGTTGGAGATGCGTATACAGAACTATATATAAAATATAAAAAGAACCTCAATCCCACTTCCATCTCTTCTCCTTATCCATCTTATCCATCTATTCCTTTACTCCACCCTATACAGATATCGATATACATCTACAATGCCTTCCACAGCCCCCCGCCGTCCCAAGCAGCCCAAGAAGCAAGAGCCCATCAGCTACGACATCAACATCCCCTATGTCGACGTAGACAAGCAATCCAAGATCACAACCAAATACCCCCAATACCTCCCCTCCTGGGACCCAATCTGGTTCGACCCACTCCAGCCCTTCGAATATGAAGACCCAGCCCTCCGCGTGCGCAACAAATCAAAACCAAACCTGCTGCCCGCAACCGCCAAAGTCTCGCACATCCAGCCCAGCCTAGGCACAATCATCGAGAACGTCCAGCTCTCCGAGCTCTCCGCCGCCGGACGGGATGAGCTCGCCCTGCTCATCTCCGAGCGCAAGGTCGTCGCCTTCCCAGACCAGGACCTGATCGATGCGGGCCCAGATGCCCAGGAATCCTTCATGCGCCACTTCGGCAAACCAAACTACCAGCCCGTGTCCGGCTCCATGACCGACCATCCCGCCTTCCACATCATCCACCGCGACGGCAACAGAGACGAGATCACCCGCTTCCTGCAGCAGCGCACTACAACCACCCTCTGGCACCAGGACGTCAGCTACGAGATCCAGCCGCCGGCCTATGTCATGCTCGGCCTCCTGCAGGGCCCCGAGGTCGGCGGTGATACCGTCTTCGCGGCTACGGACTTGGCCTACAGGCGGCTCTCGCCGGCTGTCACGGCATTCCTGGATGGCTTGAAGGTTACGCACTCGTCGGCGAAGATGATTGGCCATGCACGCTTGACGGGTGGGTTGGTCAGGAAGGATCCTGTTGATACTGTCCACCCGCTTATCCGGGTGCATCCCGTGACCGGGGAGAAGTGTATGTTTTTGAATGGGGAGTTTATTACGCGCATTGATGGGCTCAAGGATACCGAGACGAAGTGGGTGTTGGATTTCCTTATGAATCACCTCGTTGCCGGTCATGATTTCCAGGTTCGCGTGCGCTGGCAACCGAGGACTATTGTGATGTTTGATAATCGCTCGACTATTCGTGAGTTATTTCCGCCTCCTTTTCCTCCCCGGGGATTTGGAATTGAGCTTTGCTAATGATATCCTAGACTCTGCCATTGTGGACTACTTGGATGATGATAACGGTGCCAAGGCTCGTCATATCTTCCGCTTGGCTGCTATGGGCGAGAAACCCATTCCTGTCTATGAGGATGAGGAGGAGGACGAGGAGTTCGAATGATCGTAATGTGATAGAATGGGGTTATTCGGTGTTTCGGGATTGATTATAGATTTAATCTGGTTGGAACTTAATTTAATTTGCTTTTATTTGCTTTCATTTACTTTCAAAGATTGAAATATTCAAATATCCATTGCAATGATGATCAGGGCTATACTCCCTGTATCCATTTTGACTGTGAATTCGTTTTCATTACCACCCCACGCCTAGAGTTACAAACAGAAATCCCAGAAAAAGCACCGATCCTTAAAAGATCCTATGTCAAGTAAATCTCAGGAGTCACCGCCACGCAGATCTGCAACGCTACATGGCCAGTCCCCCCACATCGCCGCGGCAGCAAACGCCACATTACCGTAGAATATCATCGATCCGTGACCGCAAGTCATGAGCGATCTCCAATTGTTCCCCACTAATGACACCGCTCTGTTGCAGGATCAGCAGCATCTCAGAGACACGTTCGGCAACGATATCCGAGCCGAAGACCATGCCGCCTAGGCGCACGGTCTCATGGAACCATCCACTCAGCAGGTACAGCAGGTCGTGAGCGATGAATCGCCGGTTTGACCCGTGGAAGGGCGCCTCGTCGGTGTAGTACATCGTCTCCAGCACCGCATACAGCGATTCGTGCGCAACGCCAAGATCTAAGAACAGATCCACCACCCAGGTAGCCGGGCCCACGTTGCGTTGAAACTCTAATGCATACCGCTCCAGCATGGGGACGAGCTCGCGGATGGGGAAGATGGTCTCGGACATGCGAAGCCGACTGCCGAGGCTGCGGACTTTGTCGATCACCGCTTCGTAAGGTTGCGGTGAGCCGCGTTGAACAGTGGCGTCATGGATCCCCTGGATCAGGTGTTGCCAAGTTGACTTGACGTCGGCCGCATTGCGATAGTCGGCTTGGTAGAAGATTTGGAGGCAGATGTCATGGTAACTGGCGGAATCGGCGTATTTGTTGAATAGCTAGAACATGTTAGTATCGTGTTGGAATTTGATTCGGGGGAAATTAGAACTTACTGTGCTAATATCCATCACTGGCCCGTCGACCTCGCGCAGGATCTCGGGTTTCCGTTCGGGAAGAATTCGCTCGTCATCCTTGAGTCTTTGAAGCAGATCGTCTTGAAGATTGGCCACGTCGATGAGATTCGAAATCTCTTGCAGCAGTCGCTGTCTTGACTGACGCCCAACGTCCGGTGTGAAAATCGAAGCATTGGCGCGGGCTTGACCAAGGTACTCAATACGACGGCTCAGGGGCAACACGAAAGCACTATTGGCCAGGTGGAATTGAACCTGTGCAGTCTCGAAGAATCGTTGGGATTGGGAATAGAACCGCCAGAGTAGATCAGCATGGCCTAGATCATCATTCGACTTGCGCTGGAGGTAGGTGACGACAAATGGAGATTGCGTCTGCAGCAACCGATCGCTCCAGCCCTGCTCGAGGTACCAGTCATACAAACTCGTCAGGAACACCTCATCGGTGGAATCAGAAATCACGCCATAGGCCTCGTTCTGGCGTTTGGCAATAGTGGTCAGCTGGCCATCAATGAGACCGGGATCGGATGCAGCCAATTTGTCAACTGCAAGCACGACTTTGGAGATGAGATCGTAGCACTGCTTGCGGAAATAGAAGTATTCCTTGCGGGGGTCCTGGGTAGTTGTGAGCGGGAGCTGATACCGGGATCCATAGGGAATAAGGGGGATAAGCACCTGTTCGGGACGCTGATCCATGATCCAGGAATATGCAAGGTTTGACTTGTCGGACCGAGCAGCAACGTTGAGGGCGAGCTGGATAGCACCTAAAGACAAAAGGAATAACCAATCAGTATGAGAAGCAAAGACCAGGATCACACAACATACCTGCAAAGAACTGGTTGAAAATGAAATTGTCCACTGCCGAAACCAGATAATCCATAGGTAAGTATTCCGCCACCTGCTGGAAGAGATGCAGACTCTCATTGAGCAAGTTGCGGCCCAATTCAGTATTGGCACCGGCCTCAGTCGCACGCTTCAGCATTTCTTGTGCCTTGAAAATCACCACATCCTCAGTACTGCAGAAACTGCCACAGCGTCGTCGAAGTGCATCAGCCACAGTCTCGACGTTGGAGCCCTTGGCAATGTTGCGGTTAACAATGCCCTTCACGAGTTCTTTAGCAATGTCATGTCCCTTGCTGGAGCTGAAGAGTTCCTCAAAGGTGAGGCTGAGGAACTTCGCTTTCGATTCAGCTGGCAAAGTCGCCACAATCTCATCAACCCGCTCATCAAATAGAACAAGTATGAATGAGATACCTTCGATTGTGTGTGATACCAATTGAACGAGAGAGTGTAATGCGCGGTGCTCGGCTTGCAGCGCCACTTCTTCTTGCTTGCTGTTTACCCGGGCAAGAGCGTCGGGGCCGTTGAGCCCATCAATAAAGGTCTTGTTCACCTTGAAGAACTCTGCCAGTGAGGAGAGATCATGCTGGACAGTCTGCAGTTTGCTGGAACTCACAGACGCGGAAACGGATTGTGCGCCATTAGGTCCGTTGCCCACTTTGGCAATCCTCTCCTTCCAGATAGATCGCAACAGACGCGCAATGTATAGTGCAATACCCGTGTGTCGAGGAGAGGGCTGCACGGCGTCAAGAGCAGACGTTGAGCCATCCGCAATAGCATTTTCATTTAGATGAGCCCGACCACCTTGAGTAATGAAGGCCTGGCGTGCTGCCGCCAGGATGTCCGGATCGGTAATTCGGGTCAGTCTTTGGTCAGGGGAAATCTCCATACCCTGGCCACAAGCCACCGCCAGGGCAGTTGCCAGCATCTCGCTCCGTCCATATGTTCTCAGGAAAGTTTGGATATCGCCGGTCAGTCCCTCATGGGGATTGCCGCCGCTGCGGAGCAAGGCCGCGAATATATCCACGAGACGACGCCGACGAATGATATGAACTCCACCATTAGTCAAGATGGCAATCTCGGCAGCCGGGTGGTCGAATTGAACGGCCAACTCGTTGGTCACTGGTGAAGGTGCCGAAACCAGACCAATATCCTCTGCCTTGCCTCCCAGGTCCAGGATGATAGCCGACTCAGCGGCTTTACCACTGACCGAGCCTTCCTGGTACTGAGCGATACGACCAGAGTCGGGGGTTGAGATGAAAAGAGTATCAATCTTTTGCTGTGGATCCTTGGTAGTAAAACAGAAGAAATAGCCGGGGGAATATCGCTCGGCGAGACGAGTGGGTGAAAGTGTAGTAATCTGACCAGCAGAAGGTAAAACCGCGCCAAGAGGCGAAACAAGTGAGATGGAAGATGCCACCCCGCTCACGCCGGGGGAGAGATCGACGGGAGGTGTCTTGACATGCAGTGCCTGCATGCTTGTCGGAGGGCTAGTGTTGGTCGATGCAGGCGCCCAACTGTTTGAGCCAGTGGCGCTGAGATAAATGCGATATCCTGTTGCCGTCGTTGCAACTAGATGATACCGCGACGCTTCCGTGGCTGGCACCGGACTGATCGACACAATCTTGATTCTGGGGTTCAGGGTCTCGTTGGAGGTGATGATGTGCCCGATGTTAGAGTAGATATCCAGAGCGCGTTTGGTGATTGCGAGCGTCAAAGCGCCCTCGGGTCCCATGTGGAATACTCGAATTGTAGATGCGGAGGAGAGTGTGTAGAGCAGCTTCCGGGTGTCATCGAGTGCCATCTGCACTACATGCTCGGAAGCGCTTTGTGCAAGGTTCGTCAGGCTCATTGAAGGCCTGAAAGCCGATAGACGCGAGCTGGTATGGTTGACTCTGCCACAGCGGCCCTGGAACCACCTTTCCTCCTGTTGGTAAGTGACCTCGTGCACATCGGTGTCAGACGATCCTCCAAAGAAAATGCGTCCAGTGGATGCTGACGCTGCAAAAACATTTATATCCAAGCCGCGGACTGCCACCGACATCCCCGTGTGATACAGAGAAACCTGTCGGCCTCCGCTGGGCGTATTCTCATAGCCCATTCCCAGCAGAATGATCTCCGCAGTTGTCGCAATGACCAGCAAATGGGTGATCGCAGGCAAGAAAACTCCGGGGCGCGGTTTGGTCAACTTAACAGCATTAATGCTGTTAGGCTGTTCCTCGAATCCCACCAATTGCGGGTTGGAGTGTGTGAAATCCCAAATGTACAATGCATTGTCAATCGCGACCCACGCGTGGTTTAACTCGGCAAACAGACCCATGCTGGTCGAAACTTGTGCGCGGTTGTATTGATCGAAAATCTGGTCGGGGATATCGTACATTTTGACTTTTTGGAATGGTGCCCATGATTGGGATATGGGGATGTTGTACTCAGACGAGGAGCCCTCTGTTTTTGGTCAGTCTTGCTTCAAGCAGTCTTCAATGGGGAGATTTACGAGATAAATAGCTGTCGAGGTCTGGATAACGCGATTCGCTTTGTAGGCTGCTATTGATCGTTCGCGCCCCGCGCTCCTCGGTGCTCAATGTTTGATTTTTGGACTTTGAAGCTGCTGGAGGGAGCTTTGGCATGGGCGTCTGGGGTTGCGTCTGCAATGGCGACCTAGTCGGCAGAGGCCGTGCTGTGACTGGTGCCGGGGTCTGAAAGTAAGCTCCAGGAAGGGGTTTCTGCGGCGTCGCTGGAGGGAGATTTGTTGGAAGAGTCGGATACGACATGGCGACGGTTTTAAGGAGGGAGAAAGGGACGATCCCCCGCTAGAAAACACAAAGAAGCTGCAGTGGAGGTCGGACGAGAAAAAGAAAGCAAAAGATATGTGGGGGAATGACGATGAGAGAAGGTCTTGGGAGGAGACTGGATTATTCAAGGTCTTTGCGAAAAGAGAGAGAGTCAACACCTGGGAGCGCACAGACCAATTGGGATCTTCCGCCTTCACGGTATTGATTGTCGATTGTTTCCCATTCCCAATTGATCCCTCAATTGAACTTGTTTCCTATTGTCTTATTGTCTACCGTTTTCAATCAAAATGTTCCAATCCATCCGTTTTTCTTCGCGCCTACCAGCTCGTCTGGTCCGGTGGAATTCCACCGGTCCGGTCCTGCCACCCTTGATGGCTACTTTGCGGACTGATCTGAAAACTGCCATGAGAGCCAAAGATACGACAAGGTAGAGGTCCTTTCCACTTGTTTTTTCGAGGTTCAGTAAGCTTATAATTAGACTGAATGTACTCCGCGCTTTGATCTCCGAGACCAACAACGCCGCCAAAACCTCCTCGCCGATTCAGACAGACATTCAGCTCTTGTCGCTAATCCGGAAACGCATGAATGCCTCCAAAGATGCGGCAAAGGAGTTTGATGCCGCTGAACGTCCAGATCTGAAGGAGAAAGAGGATGCACAGGTTGTGGTATTGGAAGAATACGCTAGTCAGGTTCAGACCCTCCCCATCGCCGATATCAAGGTAGTGGTCCTCGACCAGATCGCTGCTATGGTCAATGCGAATACGAAGCCCAATCCAGGCACCGTTCTCAAAGCTCTGTTTGCTGCGGGAGGCCCTCTAGATGGCAAGCCAGTAGACCGGAAAGAAGTTGCTACTGAGGTGAAGAACGCGCTCTCTTGAGCTTACATTTACCAGATTGTATATTAGTGTCACAATAGCCTCAGTCAAGGGCATTAAAATCTCATTCATAATACAAAGAACTCCTCTCCAACGCCAGTCTGAAATCCTCATGAGCAGAAGAAAGCTACTCCTCCAAGAGATGTCATCAGAACACCCAACCACCACCATCGGTCTGGATTGATCAGCTGTTCTCTAGCGATCAGCTGAAATCCTGCCTTTGACGAGAGTTCTCGCTTTTGCTTATGTCCGGTTGGTATGGGGTTCAATGTCGTGGTAGGGAGCATCTTTGGTGGCTGGTAGGCGAGGAACATGGGATGGACAAGTGAGCCGTCCATTCTGGTCAAATCGAGGCGTTTAATGCGATTGAACTTGTCGATATCCACGGAGAATTCCTGTCTTGTGTCAGATGAGCCGTCCGAGAGAGCACGAAAGAAATGTACCTGAAACTCCTCAGTGATGTTATATCGTGTGTAGTGGCCTGCCTGCTTCTGGCAGGGATTGGACAGTAGCTGACGACCATCGACAGCAATTGGTGTCAATATCAGCGTTCCGTTGCCGAACACAGTATAAGCACCATGTTGCCATTGCATAACTCCCCCCGGGCATGATGGGTCGGCCGCTGTTCGATATTAATACAGCGTCCAAAGTCTATAACCATGGAGAACTGACGGTTTGAGATTGCGCGATAGTATGCGGATTCGTAATTTCCTTCATCGTCGAATGAGTATGAAATGCCCGTTAGATTCGGCTCGATCAGTTTGTCGTTGAGTGGATCGTAGAATCCCTATGCGCGTTAGTCTCGAGTCATTCATATAGTGTACATAGTTCCACATACTGGACCAGTAAGAACATCACGAGATTTGGTAGTCCACGTTCCAAACAAATCACCTGCACTCGCCAAAGCGGCTGTGACTAGAAGACTCCAAATCAAAAACATCTTAGTTGACAGAGGGAAAATTGACAGAAAGGGAGTATTTGAAGGGCGCCCTTTATTGGGGTGGAGATCAACAACATAGTTCAGCAAGGCCCTGGAATGGGAAGGGTTTGATGATCGAAGATGTACAAGGATCATTTGTCTCTATTAACAATCATACAACATACAATGGCTCTGTAGTGTAGTACATATAGTTATCACTGTAGTTTTGAAATGATCCCATCCTATTGGAAGTACCCGCTTGACTCTTTTTCCGGTTTATTTTTGTAATTTACTTCCTCGTTTACCCGTGGACTTGATAATCCGTCGACAACTATCCCACCAGAATGGCTTTTCAGGTTGCAAAGCGCGACCTTCGCAAGAGGATGCGCTCAATCCTGCAGGGTTTGTCTATAAGCACAATCATTCAACAATGTCAGGTCGAATGGTGGTCTTTGGGTTGTCCATAACTAACTTTGTCCCAGCCAGCGCAGCAACAACCAATTTCTTGTCATTGCCCGAGTACCAAAGCGCTAAAAGCATCGCCGTATACCTGTCTATGCCAAGCGGGGAACTCTCAACAAATGGGATCGTAAAGGATGCTCTACAGCAAGGGAAGAACGTCTATATCCCGTATATTCATACCCAGGACAAAAAATCCATCATGGACATGTTCGCGCTGAAATCCATGTCCGAGTTCGAGTCATTACAGCTGGACAAATGGGGAATCCCATCTCTCTTGTCTACGCAAATTGAAGGTCGACCGAACGGATTGACACAAGGCTTGGATCTTATTGTCATGCCGGGCATGGCCTTTGACCACGGGTTCCGACGACTTGGTCATGGCAAAGGGTATTATGATCATTTTTTAACGCGATATGCAACAACGACCCGCAGTATGCCATTCCTCGGTAAGTAATCCCAGAAAAAAATCCGTTTATCCCGACTGAACTCCATTGTAGTTGCCCTTGCTCTTCAAGACCAGTTGCTCGCCGAGGATATTCCTGTGGTGGAGCATGATTGGTTGGTAGATGCGATCGTGGTTGGTGATGGTCAATTCTTAGACCGCAGGGTGTAGCGCAAATCGAAACAGAAAAGGAATAGCGAAAATTCAAACAGCCTGGATCAGAGAGACATTGTCTCCCTTGAGAAGGACTTGGCCTGTTGCGCATTAGCTGTGTTCATATAGACTTTCAATTTCATCGTACCTAGCGGCCGGCGCTTCTCTTCCTCTGTCTTGGTTGCCAGGCGTACTTCAACGGCATCGTCAATAACCAGGTTCATGAATTCATCAAAGCCCTAGCACAGGTTAGCTCAAATAACAAGCAAAACGGTATCCTGTAAAGAAACACATACGCGGATCTTCCCCTCAATGCGGAAAGCGAGCTGCTCATACAGCCAGACTGAGACAGTGCTGCGTTTCTGCAGGAGACTGAAAATGAAATGGATCGGAGCCAACAATGTCTTGCGGCCTGCCATGATGTGCGGTTATGTCGAGAGTGATAGCTGTCACGCGGGAGACGAGGCGAAGAAAGCTCTGGCGGGCCTGGCAGGCGTCCCGTGATTTGATTACGGTAATACGGTTATCTGGTCACGGCCACCCCATCCCACCATCAACTTGCTCCCCCTCCTCGAACGCGTTTCCGCACTCAGATGCTAATACTTTCTTAATACATTGCTGAGCCTTGATTAATCTGTTTAGTTCAACATGGCCAGCAAGGAAGCCGGGCAGGCATTCGCCCCGGTCCTGGCGGCCGTCGCGACAATGCAAGGAAATGTGTCTAGGACTGAGAAGACCCAGGCACATGAATTCCTTGAGAAGTTCCAGAAATCGGTACGATTCTTTCGCCGAGACTTAAGTGGTATCTTTTGCTAATTTCAATGCGTCTTTAGATTGAGGCCTGGACAACTACACATGCTCTATTACAGTCCCCCGATGTGCCTGTCGAAGCTAAGCTGTTCGCCGCAACTACACTGAAAGGAAAAGTAAGGGTATTCCTACCTGAGGATTCTCGCCGTTTCTAATTGCGCAGATTATTTTCGATCTCGATCAACTCCCTCCGGACTCAGTATTGGCCCTGCGAGACTCGGTTCTAAACCTATTGGTTGCATTTGCGCCGGGCCCGCGCCCTATCCAGACCCAGCTATGTGTATGCTTGGCCAGTCTGGCGATTCAGATGGTCACATGGCAGGATGTGCTGGCGACTGTCGGAGCAGCTCTAGGAAACACTGCAGGGGATTGTGTGCTGGAATTCCTGAAGATCTTGCCTGAGGAAGTCACTGAGGGTCGCAAAATCAATCTCAGTGTATGTTTCTCTAGTGCGTTTACAAAAGATCAAGCTGACATCTACAAAAGGAAGACGAGTTGCTCGCGAGAACCAAGGAGCTGCTAGAAGACAACGCGGAGCAGGTCATGCAGCTGATGATCCAATACGCTCAGTCGTCGCGTACGTATTCGACGACCACGTCCTATTCTCCCGACGAATTAAATTTCATAACTGACCATGAACAGCTGCCGCAGCAACAAACCCCCGTCTTCTCGACTGCATTACCTCGTGGCTACGTGAAATCCCGGCTGCCAGGATCGTTGAGTCACCTCTCATGGACGTCATCTTCAAAGCGCTGGACAACGACGCATCTTTCGACGCCGGTATCGACTGCGTTTGCACGCTTTACCGCGACACAAAGGACGTGGACGAGTCATTGCCCATCATTCAAGCCCTTTATCCACGATTGATGGCACTTCGCCCTAAAGTTGCTGAAACTGCAGAGGCCGAAGATTTGGAGGCTTTCAAGGGTATCACAAGAATGTTCGCGGAGGCAGGTGAAGCATGGGTTGTCCTTGTTGCCCGTCTGCCGGGTGACTTCCAGGGACTCGTTGAGACGCTTCTGGAATGTTGCGCACGGGACTGGGAGCGCGACGCAGTGTCTCTGACTTTCATTTTCTGGTACGAACTGAAGCAATATATTGCTCTCGACCTGTACACCGACGCTCGAGTCACTTTCCAGCCCGTCTTTGCCCGGTTGGTGGACATCATGGTCAAAAACCTCGAGTTTCCCACCCCGGAAGACGGCGAAACCGAGGACCTGTTCTCCGGAGACCGCGAGCAGGAGGAGAAATTCCGTCAGTTCCGCCATGCAATGGGCGATGTCCTCAAGGACTGCTGTGCCGTTGTGGGTGTGAATGATTGTCTTGCTAAAATCTACCAACTGATCCAGCAGTGGGTTGCCAAGTATGCATCGCAATCAAGCGACGAACATGTTCCTCATTGGCAGGAATTAGAGGCCCCTCTGTTCGGTCTCCGCGCAATGGGCCGCATGGTTGACCCCCAAGAGAGCACCATTCTTGGGCAGTTGATTCCTCTGATTGTTCAGATTCCTAATCAGGAGAAAGTGCGGTTCCAGGCGATCATGGCGCTGGCACGCTACACTGAATGGACAGCTGCCCATCCCGACACATTGGAGGCCCAGCTCAACTATGTGATTTCCGGTTTCCATCATTCCTCTCAGGAAGTTGTGCAGGCCTCTGCTCTTGCCTTCAAATTTTTAGGAACTGACTGCCAGAAGTTGCTCGGTGGTCATATCGCGCAGCTTCATGCCTTCTACGAGTCGGTTCTTGACAAGCTGAAGCCCACTAGCCAGGAGGAAGTCACTGAAGGTGTTGCTGCAGTGGTTTCGGTGCAGCCCCAAGAGAAGATCTACGATTCATACAAGATGTTCTGCGACCCAATCATGGCCCGAATCATGAACCTTGCCAATAATGCGCAGGATGAAGAAGGCCAGCGAGCCGTAGCGGATCATCTACAGCTGATCACTATTTTCGTGCAGGTGGTGACTCCGATTCTTGCACCGGGAGAAGAAAACCCTGCCGTCAAATACTGCGGTGAGATTCTACCCATTATGACCACGATTGTCATGAACTTTACGTCTTCTACGCCTATTCTCGAACGTGTGTGCCGATGCTGGAGATACATGATCATCTCTTATCGCACTGACATGATCCCTCTTTTGCCGACTCTGGCCCAGAGTATCGCGAACGGATTCCAGGCCTCGCGCGAGGGTTGCTTCCTTTGGGCTACCGATGCGGTGGTGCGCGAATTCTCCGATGGTGCCGAGTACGTCGACCAGGCTACCAGCGATGCCGTTTTCCAGTTCTTTGAGCAGCAGGCGGTTGCTTTCCTGCGAATCTTGAACGATCTCCCCCCACAAAATCTGCCAGATGTGATTGAAGACTTCTTCCGTCTCTCCTCTAACGCCGTTCGATACTATCCCAAGAAGTATATCACTTCGTCCCTTGCCGTCCCTATCTTCTCCGCCGCACTCAGTGCTCTCACTCTTCAACAACTCGACCCTCTCATCGCTACGCTGCATTATTATCGGGATCTGTTCAGCTTTGCATTTGATAAGCCTATGGTCTCCCAGTTCACCAGCCCGGAAGGCCAGCCTTACGTTAACCCGCCCGAGGTTCGCGAGGCCGTTAAGGCGTTGATTATCTCGCAAGGCCAGCCTTTGGCTCAGCGAGTCTTGACGGGCATGATGTTCACATTCCCGGGTGACTGCTTCGCTGATGCGTCGGGAGTACTGATGACGATGTTTGAACTGCTCCCCCAGGAAACCGGGGCATGGCTGCAGACCACTTTGCAGATGCTGCCGAGTGGCACGATGAAGCATGGCGAAGCCGAGCGACTTTTGAATAGTGTCTCTGATAAAGTCCAGTCAGGAGAGACCCGCAAAATCCGTGTTCTTCTCCAAGGTTGGTCCCTTCCCCTTCCCCTTCCCCTCCCTTGTTCTTTGTTCTGTAATCTAACCTCATCTAGACTTCACCAACTCTTACCGTCGCCGCAATGTGGCCCCACGCGAGGGCCTTGGCCGTCTGGAAGCCGCCCGATTTCGATTCAGCGGATGAGAATGCCACTGTAAAGTCTTATTGAGTGCTGATCTGCATTAAAAAAAGAACCCTATGGAAGCATTTGCACAAATCAGGCGTCAGTTCCTTGCTATTGACGTGCCACGTAGTACGATACACGATGGGATGGCATGAACTCGGTGTGATGATTAATGACCTGCTGGTACGTCGGCCTGACCAGAACCTTTTCTGGCTTTGACATTGCCATATGTTGTACCAGCTCGACCTGTATCTAGATATTCAATAGTCGCGACTCATTTCTGCATTGAGATGCGTTGGCGCACTTTCTGTGTGTGGGCATTTGATCATGATCATGAGTTATGAATCTATTGAGCATCAATATTAGATTGGCATATTCCGTATATATATCTTAGGCGTAGGGTAGAAGGGATCTACAAGTATATTCATTCTACATACCACCACTAGTATATAATTAGAATAGACTGTATTCCTTGCAATGCTATGTACACAACCTACAACACATACACTCCGACTATCTCTCACCAATAAAGTCATATCCACACCACCCCACCGATATCTCCGCACTTCCCCCGGACAACCCGTTTGAACTCCCACTTGCGCTTCATTCTGTGACTCATTTCTGCTCCCTAACCATTGGCCCCTCCTTTGGTGCTCAGACATTCTTTTTTGACTCCACCTTCCAGTGATCATCGTGCCATGGCATGAAATATGGAGAACGACGGTCAACCCTCCAAGAGACGGCGACGCAGTCGCAAAGTTCTCTCAGATCGCAAGTTCGAATGCACATTTGAAGGCTGTGGGAAGAGTTATTCTCGCGCCGAACACCTGAGTCGCCATGCTCTCAATCATGCCCCGAAACAAATCTATCGCTGCGACTTTCCCAACTGTTACCGATCCTTCGTGCGACAGGACCTCTGCACGCGCCATCGTGAACGTCACACCACCAGCGGTTCCCAGCTCCAGAAACGAGATAGTTTCGCCGAAAATGGTACCAAAACCTCCTCGCCTTCTTCGCCTGCTATCACCGCGCCCGAATACTTCGTTAGCTCGGAGGAGCCCAAACCTCCGGTGACAACATACCCCCTCACCACCGGAGTGGACAGCAATGAGATATCAGTGGACCAATATTCAGATTTCCAAGCGGTGCTGCCCCAGACTGAGGATCTGATCGACCTTGACTCCATGTCCTACCCGATTTTCGGCGGGGAAACCTACAACCGATCACCATTCGCCATGGCAGACGATTTTGCAGCATGGCTATTCAGCGAGCCGCTCGCGCCGTTGGGCTACGGAATGGTACCACTTGCTCAGAATCAGTTCTACATGAACGAGGCTGTATATAACGACGACAACTTTTGCTCAGTGATTCCACAACATCCCATGAGCGTGACGAGTATTCTGGACTCGGGAGCACCACCGGCTCTCATATCAGAAGGAAAGCGCCAGGAGCTGCTGCACTTGATGTCGACACGATTCAATGAGTCGGCGTATGCTTCAGGCACTAAACGCAAAGATGCGCTGATGGACGGGGATTTGAACAACGACCGACATGCCTTGAGCTTACGTATGATGCAGACGTACATTGGATCCTATTGGTTTCACTTCCATGCACAACTTCCAATATTGCACCAGCCGACATTCAGTGCCGATCGTACCCCGAACCTATTACTACTAGCGATCATGGCAATTGGCGCGGCGACATTGGATAAGATTCATGGCCAGTCTGCTATTGAAGCAGCGGCTGAATTGGCTTGCTTCATTGCCTGGCATTTGCGTTGGGAAATCTTCATGGATGCGGACTTTCGGCCGCCGGCGAAGCTTTGGGTGTTCCAGTCTCTATTACTACTGGAAGTATACGAGAAGCTCTTTTCTACACGCGCACTACACGAACGCGCACATATTCACCACGACACGACACTCACGCTTATGCGTCGAGGTAGTTCGCTCATCGGTAGTTCTTCATTTGCCACCCCAGAAACCAAAGAGGAAGACGAGTCATGGTCAGCCTGGATCAAGGCTGAAGCGACTCGACGGGTGGCATTCGCCGCCTTTCTGTTAGACTCAACGCATGCCATCATGTTCGGTCACTCGGCCAAAATGGTGGCCCACGAACTACGGCTGCCATTGCCCTGTGACGAGGCGCTGTGGGCTGCGACAAGCGCCGCCGAGGTCGCTCGTGTGCAATCCAGTCTGCAGTCGCACGGTGTGCGACCAATTATGTTCCTCGACGGCCTCAAGCGCACACTCAATGGCCAGCCCGTCCGGACCAACTCATTTGGACGAATTATTATCATGTCGGGCTTGCTGAGTGTCTGCTGGCATCTAAACCAGCGAGACCTGCAGATTAGCTCGCTCGGTGTGGGCCAGACTCTCGGCGGACGAGATAAATGGCGCTCAGCACTCCTTCGGGCATTCGATAACTGGCGCCGCGACTTCGACGAAGCCCTGGGACCGTCGACCACATCGGAGTCGCGCAACGTGCTGCACGGGCTGGCCCATATGGGCTCCCATGTCGATATAGCCGATCTGCAGATCTTCGCAGGTGCTGGCCGGTTAATGGGCCGGTCTATCACAGCGCGTGACTACTTTGCTGCACGGGAAAAGACCGAGAAATGGGCGAGAAAGGCTTCAGCGCGGGATGCCACGTTCTTCGCGCTCAAATACCTATCTGCCTGCTTCTTAGACCCGGCTACACACCCTGGGGAGTATGCTGCGCGCGATGACTACGTGTTAAACCGGCCATGGGTCATGTATTTCGCAGCTCTGGTGGTGTGGACCTACGGGTTTGCGCTGGACGGCCCCTTGCGTCCTTCCCCTATCCTCCTGACGTTAGCGGACCGAGAGCGCGACATGCAGGAATTTCTGCATCGCGTGGGAGAAATCCAGGAACCCAACGAATTAGAGGCCATGAGCGGGCGCAACGGGTGTCTCGGTCTACTAATGATTCTCCGAGACTCCTTTGCTAAACCGCGATGGGAGTTACTAGGAGAAGCGGCGCGGCTGCTGGACAGCTGCATCGCAAAGCTGCAGTCGTAGCATGTATGAATGTGTTTATATACCAAAAGACGACGTTTCTATTATTCCATGATCTAGCCAGCAATAGAAGTATACAACCCCCTGAATACGCCCCCCTGTAGCGGTTGCCCTAACAACCACCGCCGATCCACCTAGTTCCCCCCCTCGACCTTCACCTCCCAATCCGCATTTTTGTTTCCAATCTCCAATCTCCAATTTCGCAAACTATCCAACCAAAATGGTAAGTTCCCAAATTCCTCACTGTTGATAGACTTCCTATTCAAGCGGTCTAACCGCAACCCCTTCCCGCCCATGTAACCACTCGCCCCCGGATTTCCTCCCCCTCATCAACAACTTTGTCAACAAGGCATTGCCAGCTCTCTCTTCCATCTTCATCATGGCTAATAAAATCGACCAGGCATCCACAAACTACAAGGAAGCGTTCTCGCTCTTCGATCGCCGTGGCACTGGCCGTGTCGCTGGTGACCTCCTCGGTGACCTGCTCCGCGCTTGCGGGCAGAATCCTACGCTGGCTGAGATTAGCGACTTGGAGAAGTCCGTTGGCGGTGACTGTATGTTTTGATTCTTTGGTTTATGTATTGGTTGGACGCGATCGCGTCTGACTATGAGAAGGGAATCCCTGGCTAATTCTCTCGTTCGCTGCAGTTGATTTCGACTCGTTCCTGAAAGTCCTCAACCGCCCTGGCGGTTTCCGTGAGCCCGGCGAGCCGGAGGAGTACTGTCGTGGATTCCAGGTCTTTGATAAGGATATGACTGGGTTTATTGGTGTCGGACAGTTGCGATACAGTACGTTTTTGTTCTTGTTTTTGTCCGAGGCAATTCGAGTTTGGTTGTTGGGAAGGATATTGCTGACATCCCCGCGCTTGCAGTTCTCACAAATCTTGGCGAGAAGATGTCTGACGATGAAGTCGATGAGCTGCTCAAGGCTGTTGACACTAGCTCCGGCGAGATTAACTACACGGGTATGTTCTGCTGCGCCTAAAGTGGGCTATATGCTATATTGCATCTGCTAACTCTCTCCAGATCTTGTCCGTACTATCCTCGCCAACTAATACCCCGATATGATTAACGTTCGATATGGAAATGGCTTTGCCTTGGTGGATTGAAATTCGGCGCGTTGGAACCTTCGTCTTGTATGTTTTTATTATCAAATACACTGTATTATGCTGCTCCGGGGTATCGCCTTCCGTAGCGTAGCGCAGCGCATAGATATAGATCTAATCTACATCTGCATCTGCTAGATTGATCGCACCTCTATAAACTCCACTCCCATCTAAACAACCCACTCCCTCCACTCCCTCTCCCCAACCCCCTCACCCCCCAACTTCTCCGTCTCCACCACAGCCCCAGGAAGAAGATAAACAGCCGGCGGCCGCTCCTCCTCCTCCTCGCCATCCCGCGCCCCTCCCCTCTCCCGATGATCCCCAGTAGACGCCCAATGCAACCGATCCAAATAATACCCCACAACAACCTTGCACCGCCCACACCTCAACAGAATCCTCTTTTCGATCCCGTCTTCGCGCCGGATAATCGTCGCCCGCCGGTCCGGGATCGTAGTAGCCAGCAACAGCGTCGTGTGGTTAGAGACATGTCTTGCTCTTGTCTTGCGCGATGACGGTTCTGTTTCTGTGGTCTTGGCTTCTTCTTTGAGGTCGGCTTCTATATCCGCGTCTGCGTCTGTTGAGCTTTTTCGCTCGAGGGGCAGAATCAGCGCTTTGTCTTTTCCTTCGCCGCCGCGCCGCGGTAGGGTGCTTATGTTGCGGGTTGTTGCTAGCAGGAGGTGGTTGCAGAAGCGGCAGTGTTGGGTTTGGATTGGGAGGCGGTGGTCGGTCATTTTTGGGAGTTGGTAGATTTGGTGTTTTGGTGGTGTTGGTTATTGACTCGCGCTTTTGAGCTGATAATTAGGAGTCGGGAATTTGGAGCTGCTGCGCGCGCGGAGGCAGATTTATCTCTTATGTTGGTGATGCAGAGCTGGGGTCTTGGTTAGTCTTTTGCGCGGGTTGAGGAGGAATTATCTTTCTGCTGGCTTAGTAGGTACATACCGATGATTGGATACACTTGTTTAATCGGAGACTCTGTGTTGTCTTGTATGCTGAAGTTCTGAAATGAGACGATCCAGAAAAAGAGCTGTTGAGTTGCGGAGAATTGCAGAATGGCAAGGCGGTGCGCTTATCGGTATCTACAGCTAACTTTCGAAATTCTTAGCTACGATATAGACGGTTTGAGTAGAAGACTTATTGGCATGCTGCTCGTTATTCATGAGCACAAGATGCGCATTCGGATAGCTCTATATAATTTAATAGGTATAGTTTAAAGCCGTTCATAAGCCCCGATGGCTGTAAATGCTACGCACCACTTTACGCCAGTCCCAAATCCTTATAGAATGCATCCGTCCGAGGCGCACGGCCTAAGAACCCGGTCAGAGTCTTCATCTCATCCTGGCTACCACCCTTCTCCAGAACCTGGTAGCGGTAGCGACGGCCAGCAGCCTTGTTCATGGGATCGTCCTTGAAGACGGTGTAGAACATGTCGGTGGAGTAAACTTGGGAGCTGCAGAGCAAAATCATCAGTATTCGAACATTGAAACCAATCACACAAACTTATAACTTACCTCAGGTATCCGTAGTATCCAGCGTCATAACCTCCGATCAAATGTCCAAAGGTCGCCTCGCCGTGGCCCCACTCGTTGCCAGCGCCCTGTACTTCCGGTCCGTCCATCTGGGTAATCTCATGGCGGAGACGGTTGTATGTTGCAGACAAAGGAAGAGCCTCAATATCGGCGTGGGTCTTGGGCTCGTGGACGGTCATGTCAAAGATGCCGAAGTGTAGCTGGCGCAGGTTGAACAGGGAGTCGTTGACGTGCTTGGTGCGGATCAGGTTGGCAATCACATCGTCCGGGATGCGCTCTGACGGCTGGCTGGTGGCGGCCTCGCCCTGAGCCTCCTTCCAGCTGGCAAGGTACTCTGGGGAGAGGGTGGAGTAGTGTCGGCTCAGAGAGCGCAGCTGCGAGGGTTCCCAGCACCAGTTCTCCAGCATCTGACTGGGTGCCTCGACAAAGTCGCGCACTGTGCTGGTACCGTGGAAGCGTGAGTAGATGGTTCGGGACACCAGGTCGTGGATGCCGTGGCCGAGTTCGTGGAAGAGGGTCACGACCTCGTCGTGCTTCAGCAGACTAGGCTTCTTAGGTTGGGGCTTGGTGAAGTTGCACACCAATGCGGTGGCAGGGAATCGGCGGGTACCATCCTTATTAACGAAGCCCGGCTGCAGGTTGAAGTTGGCTGCATGGCCATACTTGCCCTCGCGAGGGAACAGGTCCAGGTACAGGTATCCAACGAACCCACTGCCCGCGTCCTCATCGTTCCACACACTGAATACTTGGACATCCTCGTGCCAGACAATGTCATTGCCCTGGCCAGTGGGGGCAATGGCTGCCCGGTCCTCACCAATGATCTCAACAAACTCCAGACCGAACAGCTCCTCGAAAATCTTCAGCATACCTTGAATGGTTGTCTGCAAGGGGAACCACTCAGCAATAAGCTGGTGGTCTAGCGAGTAGTCCTTTTCTAACATGAGACGGTCATAGAATCGGTGGTCCCACAGGTAGTAGCGGCCATCGGCATTGGGGTCCGTGGCGTTCTTCAAATCCAGCAACTTCTGTATCTCCTTCTTCCCGCCAGCGGTCAGTCTATCCCGGAGATCACCCAAAAACTTGTTAACGGTCTCTGGGGTCTTGGCCATCTTGTCCTCGATACGGAAGGCAGCGTGGTTGGGGTAGCCGATCAGACGGGCCGCCTCATCACGGAGTATAATGGATTCCCGGAATAGCGGCACATTCTGGTTGCACTTGTTCTCATTGGCGATCATGACTTGCCGGCGGGTCTCGGGGTCGCTGGCATATTTCATGGTGGGGAAGAGGTCGGGGTACTTGAACGACAGCCAGAGTTTGCCGGCGTTCTCGCCCTCGCCCTTCTTCAGGCCGTCCAGAAGGTCCTTGGGCACACCAGCCAGCTGCTCCGGGGTAAACCAAATGCCGCCATTCTCCTCGTTCAGGTTCTTCTGGAACTCAATGCTCAGCTGGCTCAGCCGCTTCTTGATCTCCTTGAAGCGGAGCCGATGAGGGCCATCGGGCAGGCCAAGTCCATTACGGATGAAGTCCTTGTGTTCTTTCTCCAACAGACGGCGAGACTCCGGATCGAGAACCTCGTTGCGGCGCAGTACGGCATCGACCAAATTGAAGACATCCTCACGCATGACCGCCTCAATAAAGAACTCATCCATCAGCTCTTCAGCCTTGGAAGAAGCATCCCGCAGCTTCGAGTCGGTCGATACAGCCTGGTAGAAGCCCAGGATGTGTGACTCTAGTCCCATCTGGTTGTCATCTTGGGCGAGAGGAAGGACAACCTTGGCAAAGGTTGCGGCCTCGGGCTTGACCTCCGCCACCACCTTGTCCTGAATGGCTCGCGAGCTCTTGATCAAGCGCTCAGCATCAGCTACAAGTGACTGCGGGGTTGCGGTAAAGACAGGCGGGGCCTGGGGTGGCTTCCGGAGGTGAGCGGGGGCCATGTTGGAGGTCGTCAAGAGTCGTATTGGTACGTTGGTACGTAAGTGGCCCAGCGCGTATGAGAAGCGGGCGGGGAGACGGAGGAAGGGCGCCACGATGAGGATGGCGAGGATGACGATGAGGAGATGAAAACGAGCGGTGAAAGCAATGATGGGCGGATTTGAATGCGGTGGGGGAAGGACACTTGGAGATATGCAGCTGTCAGGTGATCTGAAGCTGGTGATTGCGGGGACAGATATCTACACTTCTTGGCATTTGTTTCTGCACGTCCTTGAGTTACTTCTATATAATACTACCAAAGTTTATTGCATATAGAATTGAATAGGTGGCCAACAGTTTATTTGCAAGGCTAGCTAACTAGTTAGGTGATGTCATAACTGACTAATCTATAGGTTATTTCCAACCTTGGAGCTATAGTAAGCCCTATAATAAGTAGAAAGTTTAGGAAAGTGGAGGATTGGGCTTTGGCAGGTGTCAAGACAATATCGACCACCCCGTAGTAGATTAGATATCCAACATAATAATAATAGGCGCCCGGAGTATCCCGTACGGACAAGTGACATGTGAAAAGCACCGCCCCGCACTTTGCTCTCTGCAACCTACAGCTCCCCTCAGTTTACAAGGTATAAAGATTTCAAGTCAAAATGATCCAAATGCATATGTTCATATAGGAATGAAAATTCGTTTCTAATTCATGATTATCTGTGAAGTGCGTCACAGGTCGCTTTTGATGAACGAAGAAAGAAATGGAAAGAAAACGCCAACTCCGACCAACCCACAAATGCAAAAAAAAACATGTCATCAAGTTCAGTTTAAGCTGCATCGGCAGTGGGGATTGGCTCAGGCATCTTAGTGACCTGCTGACCGGCCCGGATAATCCGCTGGCCTGTCTCATCGCGGACATATTCGGAGTTCTCCTTCTGAGCGCGCTTCCAGATCTCAACCTCACCACCGCCGCGGATGACTCCGACACGCATGGTGGAAAGCAAGTTGTGAGCACCGTTGGAGTGGTAGTAGACACCACCGTTGAACATGGCTGTGGCATCCTTGCCAAGGCCGGACTTGATCATCGCCTTGCCACCGGGGTGATCCTTGATGAAGTCGGTGACGTCGTGAACAACACCGGCAATGGAGATGAGGCCACGGCCGTTCTTGGTCTGCTCGACATAGTCCTCCCATTCCATGACGGGAAGCTGGTCCAGGGGAGTACCCCAGTCGAGCTTGGCGCGCTTCTGGTCGATCTTCTTCTGCAGCTGCTGGACGCGGCCCTTCTCGATTTCGTTGGAGCGGAACTGCTTCAAGTCGTAGGCCAGGCCGAGCTGCTTGCAGATCCAGATGGTCCACTTGGTGGGGTCGTACTGGTGCCACTCGATGGCGTTGCGGTAGTCGGAGGGGAACTCGTGGTGGAAGTTGTGGTAGCCCTCGCCGAGGGTGACCAGGGCGGTGATGATGTGATCACGAGGAGAGTTGCGGTCGTCGAAGGGCTGGTCGCCGAGCCAGTGGGCCAGGGAGTTGACGCAGAAGGTAGCCTGTTGCACGAAGAAGATACGCAGAATACCGGCGTACACGAATCCACCATACCAGTCACCCCAACCGAGACCAGCAACCAGCATGGGGACGATGAGACCCATGGTGAGCACGACCTTGATGTAATTGCGGTGTTGCCAGACAACAACGGGGTCTTCGTTCAGATCGGTGATATCAGTGCGGCCAATTCGCTTGGGGTTCTGCTTCATGACCATCCATCCCAGGTGCGAGTACAGTAAACCCTTACGCACGGAGTAAGGGTCTTTGTCGGTGTCGGTGTAACGGTGGTGAGCACGGTGGTCCCGAGCCCACCAACGGATGGAGCCTTCGACGGCACCGCCGCCGACCAGAGCGAGCCAGATACGCAGGGGCAAGGTGGCGGAATAGGAGCAGTGAGCCCAGAGACGATGGTATCCTGAAAACGGAGTCAGCTCGAGTCAAAGGAGTAATCTTCTAATTCTGAACTACTTACCAGCTGTGATTCCCAGTCCAGTGAAGAAGTAATAGATGACAGCCCAAATAGCAGTCTTCAGCTGCAGAGGCACGAAGAACGCCTGGATGCAGCCCGTGAGGGGAACGCCGATGATGAAAGTAACGTTGAGCCAGTTGACGTGCTTGTACCAGTTCTGGCGAGTCATCTGGGTATCAGCAATGTGCACCTTCTTGGTGTCAGCCGCCCGAGGGCGTGAAGCATCCAGCTTGGACGACATGGTTGATGTGTAGAAGGTTGGAATTCAATCCAGGAG